TTTTTGCAAGTTCTGTTCCCAGGTTCTCTTCCTGGAATCCGTTAAACAACTAAAGCATATGAGAGCTGAACTCTGAGATCCAGTCCTAAACAAAGGGCAGTATTTGTAAACATTTAACCCAGGACACTGCCAAAGAGCATGTGTTGTAGGAGCTGTGGCCATGTGGCAGGGCACTGTGGGAGTTTCTTTGCGGGTTTTAATTGAATTGGGGGTTGTAGGTCCTTGTTGGACAGCCCTCTGCAAACCGTTCTTATTTGAATCAGCTCTCCACTTTCACCCCTTCCTATTGCAAAATCCAAAAGTTAGAAGCTCCTCCTCCTGAACTCCCAGCACCTGACTCCTCAACACCTCCCAACACCATCATAAGCTGGGCTTCTCTTTCCAGTGTGGGGGCTAAAGTAGGTCAGCTTTGAGGTCAGCTTCCAATCCCTGGTCCTGCAGGGCTGAACCCATAAATGCTCCCGGAAGCATTAGCAATGCAGAGAGAATGTGCAATTTTAATAGGAATGCGCTTCTTCCCCGGGTCGCTGCTGGGAAGCAGAAAGGCCGGCATCAGCAGAGCTGGTGAGGCCCAGGCAGCCCGTAACTGCACATCTTTTCAACATGTGAGAAGCATGTGATGTGAGGAAAAGGATGAAACTGTCAAGATCTTTAAGGCACAATGCCCCGAAGAATAAGCTCTATGCAGGCAAATGTTTTCACCTGTGTTGGCCCTGGCCTAACCCAGCTCCTGGCACATAATTCAGTAACTATTTCTTAAATGACAAATGAGTGAATGAATTGAAAATCTAGTAAGTTCCAGATGATTTTCCAGTACTTTATATGCACAGCCCGTTGCATCCCGACAGCCACATTATAAGGTGGTGATTATTGCTATGCCTGTTTTCAGATGAAGAAACTAGAGAGAAATCGAGTAACTCGTGTGATGCCAACAAGCCTGAGAGTCACTTCCCAGGGTAAGCTTAAGCCCCACTCTGGCCACACCAAGCAGCCAACACTCGTCCAAGCAGGGTTCCCCAGCTTCTCTCGTGCCCCTGCACGCCCACACCAGGTATGGCAAATCGTGGCTTCAAGTCTCCATTCCCATGCCATAGTGCCCATCAGGCCTCCTTATCTCCTAGAGTTCTAGGCTTGGAGTGTGCAAGAGCCTGGCAACTCTCTGCTCCTTTGGGAAAGAGCCCTGGCTGAGCTGCTAGGAGTGTGGCCAGCAGTCTAGAGCTGCAGCTCCTGAACAGCCCCCTGTAGCTCAGACCCCAGCCCACTGCCCCCAGCTGATGGGCAAGCACAGGGCACCCAGGCCTCATTGTTTCTGCTCAGCTTGGGCTGCTCTCCTGAGCCTCTCTGCTCCAGGGTGCGGATGTATTTACGTGTTCCAGCTGCATTCCCTCTTCTCAGGGGTAAGATCCATGAACACAGGGACCGTGTCAATTTTATCCACCTGTTTTCATAGCAGGGACACAGACCTTGGCCCATAGTGGGTGCTATGGACTCGGTGTGTTGCCCCCAAATTCCTATGTTGAAGCCCTAACTCCCAATATAATGGCATTTGGAGATTTAGATGCAGTCATGAAGGTGAGTCCCCAGAATGGGATTAGCATCCTTATAAAAAGAGAGAGACAGGAGATCTGTGTGTGGGCACGTGCGCACGCTTGCACCAAGGGAAGGCCAGGTGAGGACGGATGTCCCGGGAAGAGGGCTCTCACTGGCAGCCAGCCGAGCCAGCACTCAGTCTGGGACCTCTAGCCTCAAAAGAATGGTGAGCACTTCATTTCTGTTGCCAGTAACCCCGTCAGTGGTATTCCATAACTGCAGCCGATCTGCCTGACAGCGCCCACGGGTCACCTGACAGTTGTCACCTCTTCTCTGTGGTCTGAGGCTCTTCCTGCCCCATCCTGTTTTCTCCCCTTTCCTTACATAAGTAACAGATTTGCATGCAAGCCGGGGGATTTCCTGTCCAACCCACACACCATATCCCTAGTAAACCCAGTCATACTTCTCACACCACCAGAAAATACGTCAGTGGCTTTCTGTTAAGATAACGATCAAAATCCTTAATGTGTGTGCAAGCGCCCAGGGCCTGGCCCCCACCTCCCACTCTCCCCGCCTCCGTCTGTGGGTGGCAGAGGCACCTAGTGGTGCAGACATCTGCTCCTGGCTCCCATACTTCCCTCCCTCCCTTGTCTCCAGGAGGTAACTTCTGCTCCCCCTTCAGAGCTCAGCTCCAATTGTTCCTCCCCAGAAAGCTTACCCTGACTTGCTGATAAAGTGTCTCCTATTACTCATTCTTCTAGAACCATGTACCTCTTCTGAGAAACACCCTGTTGTTACTTGTACGTTTATCATTACAGTAGATTATGTTAGCCCCTGTCTGTACATCCTAAGCTCCACAAAGGTCAGAACCGGGACTTCTCAGTATTTTGCTCACTTGCTATGTTATCTTCACCGTGAGGCGCACCCCCTGCCATGAAGCAAACTCTCCAAGAGCATTTGTTGAATACATGAATGAAGAAAATGTGTACAATGAACATGAAAAAGCTGAGGTTCCCTCGTGCCAAGTTCCAGGATTAAAGATGAGGAAAAGTTGCTGGTTTTCTTCCTTTGTTTTTTTGCAAGTTCTGTTCCCAGGTTCTCTTCCTGGAATCCGTTAAACAACTAAAGCATATGAGAGCTGAACTCTGAGATCCAGTCCTAAACAAAGGGCAGTATTTGTAAACATTTAACCCAGGACGCTGCCAAAGAGCATGTGTTGTAGGAGCTGTGGCCATGTGGCAGGGCACTGTGGGAGTTTCTTTGCGGGTTTTAATTGAATTGGGGGTTGTAGGTCCTTGTTGGACAGCCCTCTGCAAACCGTTCTTATTTGAATCAGCTCTCCACTTTCACCCCTTCCTATTGCAAAATCCAAAAGTTAGAAGCTCCTCCTCCTGAACTCCCAGCACCTGACTCCTCAACACCTCCCAACACCATCATAAGCTGGGCTTCTCTTTCCAGTGTGGGGGCTAAAGTAGGTCAGCTTTGAGGTCAGCTTCCAATCCCTGGTCCTGCAGGGCTGAACCCATAAATGCTCCCAGAAGCATTAGCAATGCAGAGAGAATGTGCAGTTTTAATAGGAATGCGCTTCTTCCCCGGGTCGCTGCTGGGAAGCAGAAAGGCCGGCATCGGCAGAGCTGGTGAGGCCCAGGCAGCCCGTAACTGCACATCTTTTCAACATGTGAGAAGCATGTGATGTGAGGAAAAGGATGAAACTGTCAAGATCTTTAAGGCACAATGCCCCGAAGAATAAGCTCTATGCAGGCAAATGTTTTCACCTGTGTTGGCCCTGGCCTAACCCAGCTCCTGGCACATAATTCAGTAACTATTTCTTAAATGACAAATGAGTGAATGAATTGAAAATCTAGTAAGTTCCAGATGATTTTCCAGTACTTTATATGCACAGCCCGTTGCATCCCGACAGCCACATTATAAGGTGGTGATTATTGCTATGCCTGTTTTCAGATGAAGAAACTAGAGAGAAATCGAGTAACTCGTGTGATGCCAACAAGCCTGAGAGTCACTTCCCAGGGTAAGCTTAAGCCCCACTCTGGCCACACCAAGCAGCCAACACTCGTCCAAGCAGGGTTCCCCAGCTTCTCTCGTGCCCCTGCACGCCCACACCAGGTATGGCAAATCGTGGCTTCAAGTCTCCATTCCCATGCCATAGTGCCCATCAGGCCTCCTTATCTCCTAGAGTTCTAGGCTTGGAGTGTGCAAGAGCCTGGCACTTCCTGCTATCAACCCGGTTCAGAGAAAGTTTGTCTGCTGATTTGTTCTCCACCCTAAGCTGAGTTACCCATCTGTGAAGAGTCTCTCCTAAGTCGAGCAAGTAACTGGGAGGAGCAACAAGTCCTTCAGACAGAACGAGGGGAACGTGTGCTCTGCTAATGCCTGTTTTGCCTGCTGGCTTCACTAGCTTGTGGCTATGAAATGCGATCACACATCTTGTTAATACCTAATCACGGCAACGCCCCGGGCTTACAAGCCCCCCTGGGTGTGGTTCCTCCACCCTGACTTCTTGCAGCCATGCTGTTGCTTCTGGACACAGCGTCTCCCAAGAAGAATGCCCCCTGCTGTCCTACCCCACCTTCAAGGAATCATGCTTTCCTAATCTCCCAGCACAAATGACAGCGACTGTGACCTTTGGCAAGAATGTATGGAGATTGCGTTTAGCAGGAAGACAGCACCCTGGCCCAGTGTCCCAGTGGCTCCTAGAAGGGTGCTCTCAGATCCACAGTCCCCGCCAGGCCTCAGCATCCCCAGCCCAGGGCACCCACCTTGCGGATGCCACACCTGTCTCCATCAGTGGGCATCTTGGAAGTGCATTCCTATTGGAGGCTCCTAGCCTCCAAATCTCCCTGGGAATCCTGGTCCCAGGGAGAGTTCCCTCTGCTGTCCTAGCTTCACCTCAATGAGAGTTGCCACAGCTGTTTTCTTCAGGGTGGGTCCCATATCCCACCCTCTAGCAACTAACCCAGCAGGCCTGAATCAAACAATGACAATAATTCCCAGAGCAATACCCCAAATCTGGCTTAATCAGTTTTAAATAACACCATGTGTGGGAATCCAACAGCCCACTTCCAGAAGCTCTGTGCTGAGACCATTCATTGCCTTCCATCCCCACAAGGAGAGAAAACATCAGGCCTTCGTGTCCCTCATGCCAAGGTCCAGTTTTCCAACTTGCCACCTAAGGGCTTAGGCAAGAACTCACACACACACACATGTTCTCTAAGATCAGACAATAATTTTCACACTAGAGCACTTTAAATCATGAATCAAGGGGGAGAAGGGACATTGCACACGATTCTGTAAGCACACCATGGTGGTGAACGAAGCCAGAAGGTAACAATACTCAGCAGAACCCCGCCCAGCCCAGCGTGGCACATCTGCCCTCACACCTGCAGCAGTCTCCCCGGCTGGGACAGACATCGCCCATGGGCCCCTCCGAACCCACACCCCGCCCCACTCACCTTGCTCTCTGCTAGTGGAAGCTGTTTGCAGTACAACGGGCTCTGCTGCCCTCTGAATCCACTTAGGCTTTGCCAGCGAGGAGTCCTGATGGGAGAGTGGGAGGGGTTAGAACCTGCTCCTCCGGGTCCCTTCCTGTGAGGTCCCCTGGAGCTGGCTGTGTGCCTCCAGCCCCCAAAAGTGGTCCCCTCTAGACCAAAGGCGGTCTCCCTCTGTGTCCGAGGCAGGAACAGCTCTGTTTCATGCACCCTGGTCACTACAGTATTCTCAGGGGCTTCCCAACAGCCTGCTGCACCGTGCAAGCAGCACCCTTGTTCACCCTCCCTGAATCATCCTAGTGTGAAATGCCAGCAGCGTCAGGCGGGACACCGACTAACACAGACTTCTTCCAAGAACAGAGTTGTGTGGCCAAAAGACCTGGACGGCGTAGCCCACATTTGAGGCAAGGAAGGGTGTTCTGGTATTTGGTGAACCTAGGGGGTATTTTCAGTCCTCGCGTGGTGGTGCTCCGGTCCTGCTCTTTCCCTTCGTGTCTTCACCTGACCCTCTCTTCCCCCCTTCCCCACACTGAAGCTGCGCTTTTGTCCCTGGACACAGGAATGCAAGGCGTCTGCAAGTGAGCAGTACCCATTTCGGCACCTACGGGCAAAATAGATATTCTTATACTTGTTTTTGTAGGACCTGGAAAAGAAATAAGAGAAGAAGAGGAATTTGATTATGAGCTGGACGCCTCCCTTTCAGCTTTTCTGGGCTAACACTGTGACTTGCTTAGAGTCTGTTTTATAGGGAACATTGGCAATTGGCATTTTTTCCTTTATAATGACTTGCTTTTTATATGTTATTAAGCTTAACCCTAGACCAGGGTTCTTTGCATTTAAAAATTTTAATATTTCTCAAATGATTTGAGAATGTCCACTTAGAGCCATGTTAAAAGGGCCCACAGATCCTATAATTATGGCACTCTTAACCAAGAAATGCTAATTCCATTTGTTTTGTGAACTAGTCTTTTGGGATCGGGGAGCTAAGAGTCCGAAGAATCATATGTAAACTGTGAGATGGATTCAGAGCAGGAGTTTGGGGACAGTGCGGGAAAATGGTAAGGCTAAGCCACCTGCGTCCTCAATAGGAGAACAGGGACGACATCATGTCACTGGGATGCTGGGAAGAATAAACAAGGCAAGAAATATGCGGGTCTCTGCCACAAAGACCGACACATAAGGAGCAAGCTATGATTCACTGGTACAGTATTAGTGTGAGTTTCAGTTTCAAAATTCTTTAGTTTTCTTATTCTATGAAATGAAATGCCTACCACTTCCTCAATAGGCATTTGCTGATATTTGTTCTCTGAATGAGAAGATGGGAATAGAGCACCCAATGTGGACAGTTTCAGTGACCAGTGACAGGGTCCTGGGGAGGCTTCCACTCTGTGCTCCAGCAAGTACCACGTCTGAAGAAGCATGGAAAGGGCAAGACCAGAGTGACTGAGAAGAAGAGAGCTCCTCAGCTACAAAACAGGAAAAACAAATGAAAAATGGAGGGTAATTAGCCTAAAGGAAAGAAGACTCTGGGGGAAATTATTAGGCACCTTCAATAGTAATAATAATGACAGTCTGTTAATGAATAGCTACTATATTCTGGGAACTGGGCTAGGTGCCTTATACACATTTTCTTGAATATTCACAACTGCCCAGTAAGTCATTATAACCACCATTTCATAGAAGAGGAGACTGAGGTACAGAGAGAACAGCACGCTTTCTGCCCATCACGCCTTCTCACTCACCCACTGCTTCCCTTCTGGGAGCCAAATTGCTGTCAGAGAATGGAAAATGGGCCTGTTTCTTTCTGGGTCTGAGGCTCATAACTAGGAACAATGGGTGGAAATTACAGGAAGACAGATTTCAGCTAGATAGCCCTGGGGGCTGTTCACAGACGGAAGGCACTGTCTTTGGAGAGTAAGTTTCCCATCGCTGGAGATGCTTGAGCCTTGTTGGGAAGGGGGGATTTGGAGAGGAGACTTGAGTGGCAAAAGTACATCTGCAGTAGAAAATGTTTAAGATTCTCTTCTACTCTCCTAAAATTTGTTCAGTCTGTGAAACGATCATTTCCCAAATTCAGAGGAGAAAGGGACAGTTTGGTTTCCCCCTTCACATTCCCTTTAATGACTGAGCTTAATGCTCTGTAATATTATTCAAGCGCTCTAAAGAAGAGCTTCCCCAATGTCCACCTCCAGCCCAACCCATAGATGGAAGGGCAGTTAGTTCAGGACTGAAACCGATCCTAGCATCTTTGCACGTATGTGATCTTTGCTTGGGAGAGTCCTGAGTCCTTACCCTCAAAGGTACATGTTCCAGGAAGCTTAATCCTTACAATCATGCATTTGGGAGTAGTTATGCCATGTCACAAAACCTTAGCAAAATAAAATGCAACACAAAATATAAAATAACACAACTTTCTTGCATACAAAGCTTTAAAAAGCAAGCCAGCAAATGTGTTCTAGACATCTCACAAAGTTCACATTGTATTACAAAATTATTTTTAATGAAGTTGTTATTATGCTACAAGAATGCAATAAAACATCTGAAACCTGAAATTTCCTATTTTTATCACCTCCTGTAAATTTTTCAAAAAAGCCAAAATGATTTGTTTCAAAATGTGCACGGGAATAATTGGATTGAGAGTTTTCATGCCAACTTTCCATTTGGAATGAAATCTAGAAGCTGTTACTTCATAAACCACTGAAAATATGAGCACAAAATGAAAAGGGTAAAATATTATGGAATATAAGTGTAATCAAACATAACATACCCTGGAAGGAACCATTGATTTACCATCTCCCAGCGTGTGGTTCAGCACAGAGGACTCTTTTATATAACAAAGTGCTCACAAGTAATTGGTTTTACCTGAATCCCCTAATTACTTTTGGAAAGAGAAATGCTATGTACATGAACTTCTGTATGTGAACACATAATGTAAAAATGCTACTCCTACATTGGTCGGGTTTTAAGTACAATATATTATTCTGGAATGTTCACAAAGATGATATGCCAGCTCCCTTAGTTTTCGATTTCTAACACAAGTCCTAGTTATTCCTTGTTAAAATCTCTGGCAAAAATTTAATCCTTAGGTGCCAAGCCAATGCATTTTTGCACACAAACTGAGTGTGGGGAAGTTTATTTCAGATTGAAATTTGTTATAACAGTCCTGCCAAATGACCAGAAATTAATCATATGCCTAAACATGTAAGAATACTGGAAGACGTCCCTTATCTCGTGATTTCAGATTAATTTTCAATTCACACGTTTCTTTAAGCTGTTCTTGAAGATCAGGCACTCAGGGGACAGACAAACCCCACTCATTCACAAGTCGAGTTTGTTTCGGGGGACATCCTTCCCAGTCCCTTCAGTGCACAGGGGCAGGCCCTTTCATGAAGAGCCTTCAGAATCAAGTGCAGCCATTCTGGTTCTGCGAGCAAAAAGGTTTTTCTACGTGAAAATGTGAAGCTGACCTGCCCCTGTTCTAGACTCATTGTCCTCCCAAGGATTGCGCATCTCCCTGTCCATTCCAAATGGATGGAATTCTAGATGGGCCAGTGATCAGAAGTGCAAGGACTGGAACCTTATTCCATATGTACACCGAAGATGTGATCAGAGAACACAGGAACTGGAATCACTTTGTTAAGCACACTGCCATCCTTGGGAATCAACTCCATATTCACTTTACTGTTAGGTGACAGTCGAGCACATTTTGAAATGCAGTAGGAAACACTGCAGAGTGGAAGGGACTCAGGTTTTGTTCAGCTGTTGCAAATGCTGGGGCTTAAAACAACCTGATTTTCACCTGGTTGATCTGAAATTAGATCTCCTACCTTTGGTAACAATCCTAACCACATAGGTTTATGTTAACAATACTAGATAAGATCACAGAAAGAAAAAAGCATTTAAAAATCACTGTAACAGGAGTGAGTGAGCTCTCTGGTTGTTCTTCTAATTCAGTGGATCGCCTGCATGTGCCAGTTAACTTTGGTTTCAGTCCTGGAGTTGACTTTTTTCTCTATCTTTCATAAGCTCCATCAGGACAGTGTGCTATATAATGACAAATAGGTTCAAGGCTACAAACTAGAGTTCTCTTGGCTTCTGCTGTTGAGGAAATTTTAAACTGATCATTTTTAAAACACTTAAACCACCAGGAGAAGACTTTCTTAAAGATACCATGTTGTCTTTGTCTTACAGAAAGCAATTAATGAAATTGGTGTCCACTGGGGGATGGGGGTATAGAATATTCCCATCTCTGCCATGCAAACCCATAGAAATGAGGCCACCCAGATCCCAAATCATCAGTATAGAATTCAGCTTAGAATCCTAAAGAAGACAGAATTCTCCACATTAAATTGAGCGTCAGGGCAAGACACTCTTGCAGCCCTCATAGCACGGATAATCAGTTAGTTTTGCCTAAGAGATCTTTGTAGGTCACTGCCACATGCCTGAGTCGTCTGGCTTAGTGTCCTACAATCAGAAAAGCTCATGCTTCTGACCCCAGCCTCCCACTGCCAAGCTGGAAGCACAGGTGTGCTGGCCAGATTGCAGGTCTGGAGTCTGCTCTCTCACTTTCTGGCTAGGAAACTAGGTACGCCGCCTAACTTCTCTGTGCCCCAGTTTATCTGCATAGTGCATATTATAATACTGCCTATCTTGTAAGGTTGTTGCAAGGATTTAATGAGTTAACACTTAACAGATAAAGAAGGAAGATCTTCCTTTCAGTCCCTGACCAGTACCACTGACAGGCTGGGTAGAGAAATTTTTGTAAGGACTTGTGAAATATCATTTTTAAAAGCTGTGTCTCAGGAGAGCTGGAGGTAAAACTATGAGCTCCCTGTTCACCCCTCTTCTACCTTCTAGAAGGTTCTCCATCCTCTGTCCCCACTTCTCATCCTATTCTCTAGCTTCCCCATGGCATGAACACTAACCCAGATCCTTTTAGTACCATTTTCCCACTTCTTTCCAATGGCTGAGAGTTAGGCTTTTAGAGATTTAGCCATGTCAATGACATCTGCATTTTGAACATTTGACCTTAGCCCAAGGTAACTGCAT